ATGAAAACTTTCCTGATTCACTATGATGAACTGAGTCGTTTATGTGGCATCTTCCCTTCAGTGTCACATTCAACAGTCAAGCAACAATCTTATAAACAGAATATTTGTAGGTTATCACATGGATGATATATGGTTGCTGGAAGAATAAACTCCAAAAATAACTACTCATGTTTAATTATCAAACGGGTAATGTACTGCAAGTGAGATTTATTGGAAATTTTCCTAAGCTGTTCCATTCAAAACTTAAAGATGGCTGGAAGGAGTGTGAGCAATTGATTTATATAAAGAGCTCCTTTGCTTTTATTAATAGATAAAGTAATAGGTTTCAGGCTTCATTGCGCTGATGTGGAGGTTGGCTACCAAGATCCTGACACCTGGTCACTTTTGTGGTGCCTACTGAACCATCTACCAAGTATCAGATGGGACTCAAAGCAACTTAAAGGTGCTTGAAATATGTCTGAGTCAGGAAGACACACTTCCAGCCAAGGACAAAAGGTCTTTAGTAGTCATCAGAAAACTATTGCTGTCCACGAGAGTCAATAAGAAGCTGCTAAGTTGGTTCCTCTAAAGAGCATGAGTATAGGTGCTGTACAGCGTGTCTTTTTCTGTATAGTCCACTGGCATTTGGGGTGAACAGGAACATTGTGTTCCAAGTGAATAAAATCAACAATGGAAGTCAGTTCTGTGAAGAACACAGATTTGAGTTAGCTCCAGGCAAATTGTAATGTAATTGTACATGGGAATTATTCTGACAGAGTATGGAAGTGGGGTTGTCTACTTTATTTATTTCCAAGCCCAAAGGACAAGTAATGAATTTTTATTAGCGTCCTGCAAGCTTTGTTGATAGAAACCCAGGAAGCAGAAAAATGTTTGTATGCATGTCATAAAAGAGGGTATAATAAACTGACTACATTCAGCAAGTTAGATATTTTTTTCTAAAGGAGATTTTTGCTGACTGTGACAAATGTCTAGCACCTCAACACTGAACTAATCAAAAAACACTGAGTCAGGGTTGGAATGTGTCAGTACGGACTAGAATATGACTGCATGAACAGCAGTCCTGCTGGAGATAACAGGGGATAGCAAGCAGAATATAAGCCAACAGTGTGGTCTCATTGCAAAAAAGCAAATCATGCGCAGAGTCACTTTAATATCACATCAAGCAGACTGAAGGAAGTTATTAGCTTCCTGAACTTGCTATTACCAATGACTCTCGTTTGTATGCAGATACAGGCTTCTAATTTCAAAGGGGATATGGAGGAACTGGAAAAAGTCAGGCACCGAAGATGGCCAGAGTACACCCTGGGGGAGAATGTTGTAGTATCTGACCTTGTTGGTCTCTTGAAGAGGAAGTGAAGAAATAATCTAATATTAGCCTGCAGCTATCTAACTGGTGGCTACGAAGCTGAGAGGATGCTTTTTTTGTGTGTGTGTGTGATTACAGAAGACACAATGGACTTGATTTATAACATGAGAGGCTCAATTTGAACATTTGGAAAAGATTTATTCACCAGAAGGGTAAGAGCACAGAAGCATGTTATCCAGGAAGGAGTTGGAGTCTTCAATTTTGAAGGTTTTCAAGACATTCTTACACAAAAGTGTGGGTGACCTAATGCAGCGTGGCAACCGTCCTGTTTCAAGCAGGAGGTTGAAATGGACACCTCAGGAGGACCTTCCAAATATTTTCACAGTTTTAAGATAGCGTTCCCATCCAAGCCACCCCATGTGAGCTAGTTTTAAGTGTTCTAAAAGCAGACAGGATGTCTGATGCCAAACAAGCAATACACAGGTTAAAAGGCTGTCTTAGAACTGAAATTCGTAGTTTGTAGAGATTGCTTGCCCAAGCATCAAAAGAGTATAGAAAATAATTAAGAATGAGGCAAGGCAATCCAATACCAACAAAGGACCAGCTGAAATGAAGTGCTGAGAAGTATAAACACTCTGAGCTTCTTTTAGGAGGCTAAGAATGTGTGCTGGTAGATAGCAGTACCTAGCAGTGCTAAAGTAAAAAATTACATTTCCAACATCACTTGCATACTGATCAGTACTGTATGATATATATTTTTTTCTAAATGGCACTTAAAGAACAAACAAAGAACTTGCAGAAGAAAAGTAGCTCTTTCTTAAAGACCTCAAAGCCACAAGACTTTCCTTACTTGTGAAAGTTATGCAAAGAAAGATGAGGTGAAAGACCTGAGTTCTGGAGAGACTCATCACAACAACCAGAAATTCAAGACAGACATTGTTGCTTCTCTTACAAGATCTGACTAACTGTTTTCCATTTATTGAAGGTAATAAATAGAAGTAGAGGAATGGCATAGAATTTATTGATATGCTAAAGGTAAAATTGATATTTCAAAGTCAATGTAGCCATTGATTCAAAAGCAGTCATGTCTAAAAGTTGTTTCTGTAGCTGTTGAGGCAATCATAACTACATTATGTGTGCAAAAACGAATCACTTCTGGAAATGTAATGCTCCAATCCTATACCTACCATGATTTAAGGAGCAGAGGAAAGTTAGCTGATCACTTTTAACAACAGCACAGTTGTTTCCTGGCATAAGTCAAGCAAGGCACTATGGGGACTGAAAGGGGGACTGAAAGAAATCTGTCCACAGTCATCCAAGACAAGACCAGCACAATGCAATTTCTGTAGCTCACTGGGTGAGTTAGCTGTTTGCTGCATTTGTGTGGTTTGATAAACTTAGACTTCTGATTATGGGGATTATGTTTTAATTTCAACCTGAATTTTATTATTGTGTTCATCAGGCTTCGCAATTTTGGTAAAATCATAGTAAGTTTGCTTAGTGTATGATCAGTTAAGTAAATGAATATAGGCAAGCTGCAAGGACAGAACACTGAGACCATAAGTAGCCATAGACAAGAAATTTGCAAGTCAGTTATGTCTCTGCAAGGTCATTTCCTCTGAATAGTAATTCAAAAAGAATCAATTCACTACAGAACTAGTTCTTTCTAGAAATGCAAATATTCTTCAGCAGGATATTGTTGAACAGAATAAGCAGTTTTACTGGTCATGCAATTGGAGGTGACTTCTTGGAAGAGCTTAGAGAATTTCTTAAGTGTGGAAGCTATACTAACCTGCAATCACAGTACAGAAGGAGATACGGGAAAACAAGAAAATGAACTGAATAAGAAGAAGCCAATTTTATACTTTATGATTTTTACTGTATGATCTTAGATGTAATCTTCTCAGCTGCTGCCTCTATTCTACTTCTGTTATTACAAACTGGAAGTTGTTAATATTCATGGCATTCATATTTTCTCCTTACTTGTGAATATTCATGACATTCGCTTGAAGCGCAAAGATGAAGATACTGAGTCTCTTAGCCCAGTTTCCTGGTTCTGTTGCAGACAATCATATAGCGTAATTATGAAAACTTAGTTTAAAAAAAAAAAGAAAAAGAAAAGAAAAAGAAACAAAATAGAGCTTTTTCCTGCCTTGGAATGTAGAAACTCATAAATTCTCAAGACAAGGATTTTGCTGGAAGACAGTAGTTCCATATATTCCACAAAACAACAACAACAAAAATGTTTTCAACACAGATTTGTAAGTTTGTTTCATTCATAAGCTCCTTCCAGACTAGACAGTAAACACAAAGGCTGAATTATATTTGGAGGGGGAGGGGAAGGTAGGGAGAGTGAGAGAGGAGGAGGAGAAGGAGAAATCACTACAATGTCATGATACATTTTTTTTTCAATTGCTAAATGAGATTTATTCTAATATTAAAAGCTAGAAAATGAACCCCAGATTTTCAGGACTGCTATTCATAACACTCCTGTAATACTTGAATTCCTCACAGCCTTGCTGACTCATACCCTCACTCTTTGTGGCTGCTGTTTCACGGACACCGATCCCCTGCCACCAACAGTCACACTGCTGTTGCTGCATGCAGATTGCCACACAGACATATGTGTGCCCACCACAGGCAGTCCCTCACTTGGGAAGAGGGTTATATACGGACTTCAGTGAGAGGGCAGAACAGACTGTAATAAGGCACAGGGCACAGCCAGAAAAGTGCACTGACCAGCAGCCTGCTTCCACACACTCAGCACATTTATCCCACGCTTGTTCCTCCAAAAAACACTTTGATCCTTCCTTTTGTCGTAATTGCAGCGCTAGCCACTGCATCTGTACATTGCTACTGTATGGCTAGTAGCAGAACTGGATATTGTGCATGGGATGTTCTATGCCATTTGACACCATGCAGAAGGGGTTCTGAAGGAGTGCGAGTTCATCTCGCTCTCTTACACTTCTCAGGAGCTAGCTGGGCATCAGTCATGGGGTGGTGAGCAATTGCTTGTGCACCAGTTGTTATGTACATTCACATACATAGATGTATTTGCTGTAATTATTATCTTTTTTTTCCTTTTCTCTGTCTTAGTAGTAAATAGTTCTATCTCAACCCACAAGTTCTGCTTTGTTTTTCTTGATTCTCTCCCTCATCCTGCTGGAAAGGGTGGGAATGAGTGAATGTCTGTGTGGTGCTCAACCCCCTGCTGTGTTCAACCACAACAGCAACTAAACTATAAGCAATTAAGCAATAAAAAGAATTCCCTAATTTCCCTAACTGATTGTAAAATAAATGTACGATGGTGAGAGCAACCAGATTTGAAGCCTGTTATGCAGTGCCCTTAGCACTTTGGGTTTATTAGCCTGTAAGATGACTCCTTTCATCTGACAAGTACACAGAGCCTTCCTACTGTAGGATAAAAGTAATGGTAAGGCTTAGACCCTGCATTGTCTAGAATAATCTTCCTCCTCCTCCACAATGCTGATGCTGGTTACAATGAAGCAGTTATTCAAGGAGTTGCATGCATTTTTGGACATTGTAAACTAATTTTCCTGTCATTATTTGACTAAAGAATTAAGTCTAGTCACAAGCAGTAATGTAGTACAAATGCATCTGTTCATTTTTTCCAGTTTAAAACATCAAAAGGAAAACAATTTAAAAAAATCTTAACTGAATTAAATAGACTCACCTAACATGACTTCTGGCACAAGGACGGCAGTTCCTTCTCCACCCACAAGTCCACAATTGCAGAACAGATATGGTGCCCTGGTAGCAGGAGAGGCAGAAAGCCGTATCTGGGGAAGTATCAGAGCGTGATGCCAAGACTGAACCACACATCAGCAAGAGAAGGAAGTAGCAGGGGACAGTAGTGGGTGGTTTCTGCTTGTAGAGGACAGAAGTCCCCATCTGCCCACTTGGCTTGCTGTCTAGAAAGATTCATTGCTCATCAAGGGCTCAGGTCCAAGATATAGCAGAGAAACAGCCATGGCTCTCAGGCTATAAGCCCCTGCTGCTCATCCACATGGACATCAACAATGCTGCCAGGAGAGATCTTAAGTGTACTAAAAGTTACAATGAAGATCTGACTAGACCTGGAACTACAGATTGGTCAGACTCACTTCTACCCTTTCATAATCCATGAACCTCAGTGCCCCCAGAGCATATTTCTGAGTACACACAGGAGAAGGAAATGATAAAGAGGAGTCAGTATGCTTTTACCAAGGGTCAACCATGCCTGAAAAATCTATCTGCCTTCTCTGATCAAGTAACTGCATTTGTGGGCAAATGGAGAGTAGTGGATGACATTGACCTTGACTTTAACTCTTGTGAACTCTTTTCAAAACACTCTTCCTTTTCTTGACTTGAAGAATAACGATTACAACTGATAAGTTTCTATATTAGTTCTTCCAGTTAGTGTATGGGTTCTCACCAGTTTCTGACCACAAGGACTTGAAATGAAAAAGTTTATGTACATAGTTATGTGTGATGATTATGGAACAAATCATTATATCTGTCAGTTATGGCTCTACCATGTTGCTAGTATAAGGAATCATAGAATCATAGAATCACAGAATGGCCTGAGTTGAAAAGGACAGGAATGATCAGCTAGTTTCAACACCCCTGTCATGGGAAGGGTCACCAACCACCAGACCAGGCTGCCCAGAGCTACAAGGAAGACAGTCGCATCTTCAGTTCCACCAAAAAAAAAAAAAAAGATAAAAAAGAATACAGATTTCATTATGTTGCAAAGTCCTTCTCCTGCGAAGAGGTGGTACACACACAAATCCCTCAGGGAACTGAATGCTTTCTGCAATACAGGAACAGATGCTGCATGGATGAGGGCACACCCAGCACCTGGAGTGATGCCACAAGTGAAGAGAGGCAAGACACAATTAAAGAGCAAGATAAGAATCTGAAGCTATCAGAGTAGTAGCTACAGAAGAAACTTTCTGAGCCCCTGTTAAAGCTGAACATAGCCAGACGCATCTTTAGAATCACAAGCAACTTTGCATCTACAGGTTTGAAGCATTTGACTGAAGACTGCAATCTGTCCCTGGAGGACAGCTGGAGGTCTCCAGGAACTGCACGGAGATGTGCTGAGAACCTGCTCTGCCAGGTGCCATCAACATATTCACTATTATTCTTGACCTCTTTCACCACTGCTTTTAGGAACTGTAAAGGAGAATGAAAATCACTTTAATTTGACCAGGATCTTTTGATGCGTGGAATCTTCACTTTCTACAGGAACTTTGTGTGGGATATTTGAAAACAAAGTTGCCACTTCCTAATCACAAAGACTGTCAAAGGAAAAGGGCAGATACTGTTGTTTATGTCAGGAATTAAAACAAACAGTTTCACTTAAAAACTGGAAACTTTTACAATTTTTGTTTCTCAGATGTTAAAAATAATGCAGTTTTTAAAAAGTAGGAAACAAAATGAAATGTTTTAAATAATTTGCCATTGGTTTGTCTTCTTGTGAACACAACTAACAAAACTGTAGAAAACTGCAAGCTGCTCAGCTGTTTTCCAATCTGGAGAAACACCAATTCATATTCACAGAAGCCAATGTTCTGTTATTTCATTAGAAGGAGGAAATTAAAAAGCAATTTCCTTCTGTATTCTGAATTACATGGTTGTATGAATGTACCACCTCTACTCCTCTTGTTGCTGTATTTCTTAAGTGGGACATGGTCTTTGAATAGCTAGATTACCTTCTGAGAAGGCCAAAGTGCAGCAGAAGTGGTACTGGTGATTTATTAGTGAGGCAAGATTTACAAGAGTTGTGCTTTCAAGTGTTGTCTAATAATCCCTCCAGAAGCCCAGAGTGAAATTTTAGATTCTCTAAAATCTTGTTGGCTTGATGCCTAAACCCAGAAATCTTTGGCTAAAAGCGCCCAAATGTACATGCTAACACTTCATATTCTGTAAACATCTGTGAAATATTCCACCTGGTAGGTAGACAGAAACTCAAGAGGAAGAACACAGTGAATAGAGAAGGCACTGCCACCACCTCTCTTAAATAAGAACCCTGAGGTTGACATCAGGAATTCCACTGCAGTAATGGTGTTCCTCTGCCTGTGGAAATCTGAATTTAAAGCTCTTTTAAGACATTATTATCATAAAATTGTATGGCAGTTTCTCAAGCTGCAAATTAGCTGCAGCTAATTTGGACTGAAAAAAACCAAGTACCCTGATGGTAGCAGACGACTTTCTCAGGCACTTGACAGGACATGATAAATGCAGGTGAAAGGAGAGGACAGAGATCATTTTAGGCTTTTTTTTTGCAGCAAGAATAATAAAAATAGAATGGGAGTACCAATCCCCTTGCCCTACTTCCTCAGTCCAACTCTTTGTTCATGCATGTTCCCCCTCCTTTAGTTTGCTAGATCTTATCCCATAAAAAATTGTTGAAACAGTCTTAATACAAGACATTCTGGGTTGGAAACTCTTTGGCATTTCAACCTGTTCTATTCTGAATGGAATAACTGAGTGAGACATTTACAGCAATGATAGCTTACTTTTGAGAGCACTTGCCTAGAACCTGGTGAATAGCTAATAGGATTGTAATATATTCCCAGAACCAGATCCATACCTAATGGAGGTAATGAGAACCAATACATCACCATGTGGGTAAGGAAAGTGCTTTTTTCTTTCCTAAGTTTCACTTATATAAGCATGTGCATGCATCAGTAGCTGAGGATGGGACACTCGTGTATAACACAGAGAATGAGAGATGCCAGTTAGCAAGTCCTCACCATGCCTTCTGAATTTCTTTGCTGGTGACAGTCAGCTGCCTCAGGACAGTTATTTCATTCCCTTCAGGAGTCACCAGTTTTAGAAGCATAATCTTTTCTCTCAGGAACTAGCTTATTATAACTTCCAAAAATATCATGCAAAGTGGTTGCCCATTTTCTTTTGCTCCATTCATTTCAGTGCCTTGTGACTGCAGTTTGTCATCCTGCTGGAACACCAGGATGAAGAAAGGCACAATCCACATGCCGTATGCATGCTGCCACCCTGCAGCTTTGACTGCTGAAGAGCCAGCTGTGCTGCTGCCTTGTTGCAAACAGCACCTTTCTTAGTTGCTTCCAGTTTTATTACCATCGCCATTTGTCACTGGCTACCAATGAATGCTGTTCTTCCACCCCACCCTCTTGTGTTCGCAGTGATTGCACATTAGATTGTAAGGAAAGTCATGACTGAACTTAAAGCACATTTCTCTGCTCAATGTTTGTTACAAAATGGAGGTGCTGAGCTTTCCACAGGAACAGAGGGCACGAAGGGGATAAGCTCTATGATTTTGTGAAGTCATGCAAGCTCCAGTCTCCAATACAATCAGGAGCAGCAGCCTGCACATGCAGATATCCTCTTTACAGCTGTGAAACCAGACCAGAGATTCCAGGTGTCGATATGCTCCTTCTCGAAGTTCCCCCATGGAAAAAGCAAGAATTCAGTATCAAAATGTTATTAATTTTCCACTACCTCCTTTTCCTGCTCAGTTGTTTAAACACTACTGAAGCAGAACAAAATAAAACATAGAGCAAAACCACAACAAAATACCACATAATAAACTGAATTACAATAGTAACACAAAGGCAAGATTCCTATTCTCCAGTTTTCACTTTAAAAGCTCAAATACAGAGACAGAGTCCCTGGTGTGCCTTTTTTAAGTTTTCTCTCTTGAAAGTCAATACTGTTCACTGGTCTGAGGTTTAGAATTCCTAAATTCAATCACTCCTAAAATATTTTATTTTTAAAGCTTTATAATCGTACACAGTGCTGTAGAATGCCATGTGAGGGAATAACATTAGTTCCTCGTGGTATCTGTGCTATGCTTATCTCCATGGTAGCTAAGCAATTCAGAAAAGAATAAGCAAATAATTTACTGCTGCATACTTCTCTCCACCAACCCTCCGTTAGTATATACTACAGAGTCTGGATCAGAAAATGCCAGGTTAAACAGTCACGTAATCTAACAGTGTAAAACACTTTATCTCCAGCCTTTGAAAGTTCTGTTCCTGCTAAAGTCATTAGTCTGATCCTGTCCAATCTGGTACAAAGAGGAACTGAGAGGGGAGCATTGTAACGCAGGTATGGGTTAACACAGCTCTTCACAGCACCAGGTCTGCCTTGTCCTCAACTTCACACGTGCAGATTGCAACCCCAAGCCCTTATCATGTTTCCCTCACCACTAGTTACCTGAGTTACTTGTGAAGGACTGAGCATCCCTCCAAACTGGAACTCCCTCATGTGAGACAGCCAACTGAGCCACAAAACAGCTACATCAGGGAGACGGGCCTCATCAGAAATGGAAGGTGCGTACCTCACTAGGGCCACAGCCCTGATCACCAGCCTCTTGTTTACCTTAAGCTGCCGGTACAATGCTACAGCATGACCCAAATTCGAGACTGTGAAGGGAGTTGCTGGCACTTGCTTGAATGTAACATCACTCACATAAAACTAAACACAGGTAGCCAGGTCCTGTTCCTTCTCTCCTGTTTATCATGATGAAAGTTCACTAATGCAGACACACACCTTCGTTCCCCATATTCACAAGCACAGTGCATACACAGGTCTCTCTGATAGCAGCACAGGCTCTAAACTTTGCTTAGACCCAAGCATTGGCTATAGGCCCTTACCCAGGCATTTACACAAACCGTGACACTTTCCAGACACGGGTCTGCTATTTGCCAGCTAGTCTGTGTTGAAATGATTTACTCATGCACATAAACATGGAAATGTCCACACACCAAACTCCCCAGCTGGCCATGTGGGTCCATGACCTGAGACCCCT